AACATACTGCCGTCCTAAGGAAGAACGCCTTATGAACCTTCAGGCGTTGCCAAATATGCTTCGATTAAGTACGAATTTATTGGGATAGTTGTTCCTATTATTCTTCTAATTTTTAGACAATTTTGTCTGCAATTTCATGTAAATCATGTGAAAATTGAAAGAAAAAATATGCATAACTCTTCTAAGCAAAACGTGTTTCATTCGGGGAAATTTGGCAACTCCCGCACGTTCATACGGCGTTTTTCCTCAGCACGGCAGCACACGAGAGAGAGTCATCACACCGAGCGTTTATTACCCAAAACTCCGGGAAAATTTGCTCTCAAAAATGGTCCTCGTCGAGTTCTTACTCGGTTTGTATTCCACGTTTTATCATGCTTTGTAAGTTTTCATACTAAATGAATACTACAGATCCGTCGCAGGCTAATTATATATAGAGTACTCATATAGAGAATAGTACGGATATGTCGAAATATCTGAAGAACGCCGTTTCTATCATTTACCTCCTTAGTCTATAAGCTCCGCCCTTTTAAACCTCAGTGGCATGGCGTGCTTTGCGATATACCGATTGATCTGCCATTTAATATCTGCCATTTATTTATTTTCTGCCATATGGAAAAATATCGATAAACAGGGTGTTCGCACACCTTTATAATCGATTCTTTACGGCAGTTTCAATAGGGAAATATCGATAATCGATCATATACGCTTCGTCTTTGCAACCAATTCAGCCGTGCTAAAGAAGAACGCCGTATGAGCACACAATTGTTCCTTTGTTTCTTGGTCTATCGATTTGCCTATCAAATTCGATAATCAGCTGTACATCGGCCACGAAAACATTGGCTCCTACTTCGAAAAAAGCACACTCATGCACGGACCTACCGCTATGTTGCTTCTCCCCTTCATACATATTTGCCCTCATGACAATTCTGCGAAAGAGACATTTCTAGAATTTGCTGACTTCGGGAAATTGCAACATATATGAGATTTTGACTCTTTAATCAATTCGGCCGACATTTAAAACCTGAAACAATGATGAGATTCATGCGCAAATCTAGAAATCAATGGAATTTAGCACACAGGTACATCGTAAAAATTTCAACTCTCGATCCTCGAGTCTTCAGCGGAATAATTAATGAGATTTATGGACATAGTGATAGATGAGGAAGACGAAAAGAAAATGGAGCTGTCCTATTGGTGAGAGCGGGTGGTTGCAATGGACCACTAGACAAGGTACGAATTTGAGCATTCTGATACATGTTTCTTAACCAAAATTTTACGTAGAACACGATTCTTACAACAAAAATTACTGAAACCAGCTTTTAACGAAGACATTAACGTTTTTATTTCACATTGTTCACGAGGAATTTGAACTGCCCGCTCACAAAAAACTCAAAGCTCTACCTGAGTCAAATCGCGCACTACAACGGTTTCAGCAAGCTTCTCAATTGAGCAATGTTCATTTCCCACCATGTGTTGTTCAAACTATAAGCAATTTGCTACAGCTGAGCCAAAACGTCAAGATTGAAGTCGCCAGATTTTTACATCGCAGAGACTGTCATGATAACGTTTAGCGCGCGATGTGATTCACGTAGAGCATTGAGTTTTCATAAGCGGGTGATTTGAATTCACACACTAAGAATCATTAAATATCTTCTTAAGGAGTTGATTTCGATAATTTTCGTTGTGCGCATCATGTTTTACGTAAAATTTTGGTTAAGAAACATGTAACAGAGTGCTAAAATTCGTACCTTGTCTAGTGGTCCATTGATGAAAAAGGTAAGTAGAGACTTACTATGACGGTAACCCACGCGAGACCCTATTCTCTAATAACTACCTGTCCCAATCAATAGGTCGCTCTATTTTCCATTTGTCTTCTTTGTCGAGCACTTTGTCTATCAGTTTCAATAATCAGCCCGCAGAACAATCAGAAACGGAGAACCATTAAAACCCTACACCAACGCGGCCTGCAGAGAGGACCGTAAAAATGGGATCATGTCTCTGAAAGCGTGCGGAACACGCGAGCGTCTCTCAAAACGCCTTCAATTAGCCTGCTATGCAATCCGAGCTCCGGGGAGTTAATATAGTTGCTCGGAGAGTTCCTTACTACTACTTGCATGGTCTTCATGGTTGGTGTCTTCTTCGTCTCCAATTTCAATCATGAGTCCGCAGCGGGCCGATTATTGAAATTGATAGACAAAACGATAGACAAAGAAAACATAGGCAGTATGGATCCATCCTATTGGTTGAAATTGGTGGTTCCTATAGGCTAAGGGAGAAAATGATGGACTAACTATCGGGTCCCTCGTGGGTTGCCGTTACTTTGTCTATTACCTGCCTCCTTTGTCTTTTGTAACCACCCGCTTCCACCAATAGGATCCCTCCATATCTCTTTTGTCTCACAAACAGAATGGGCAGCAGCCGATGCTTGCCTCAAAGGAGTCCTGGTTGAGTTTGGTCCTTTGCGCTAGCAAGCGAGCTAGGCCCAATCTTAAAAATTTGAAGGCCTTAATAATTTTAGATGTTCCAGGTCCTTTCCTGATTCGGTCACTTTTCAGCTACCACACTTCGGAGAAAATGACAGTCGCAAAATCTTATTATTGTTTATCTTTCACTTAATTTTTACATTAAGGTGCAAATCAGGTACACCTTATCGCGGGCCTATCGTTGGATTTTTTTAAGTGCTTTTTAGTGTTTTAGTGTTATTTACAATGTCGGCTCCGAAGAAGCCCCGTGTGAGGGACAAAACGCGTCTGCTGTGAACTTGAATAAAAAAAAAAACCAGAATGCTCGCAAGTAATTGTGTGATTATTATACTGGCGAACTCAACGTTTATTCACCTACTTTGTTTATCAACATATCTCCGAAAAAAACCAACTCCTTAAATATTTGATGACTCACTCACTTGCTCGGAATATGACAGATCATCTGGATCAGACCCAGTAAATTAAGAAATATCATGGATAAAACTCACATTTCACATGTAGAACATAGTTTTTACCTTTCTTGCCGTTGTTGATCGTTATATTTACTCCTTTACCTCCCTTGTTTGCCACATTCTTAATTCCACATCTCCACTACACTATGAAAGCAGAAATGAAAGAGTCAGATGAGACGTAGGCTGTGGTCGTTGTTCATTAGAGCTGAGATCCGTTCAAAATAATTTTTTTTGTTGACTATGACATTAAAAATAAATAAACCAGAAATGAGTGTCGATCGTTAGTTATATTTACTCCTTTACCTCCCTTGTTTGCCACATCCTTAATTCCATATCTCCAACTTCTCTATGAATTCAGAACTGGAAGAGTCAGAAGAGACATAGGCTGTTGTTCTGTAAAGCTAAGATCCGTTCAAAATCATTTTTTTTTGGTTGACTATGACGTTAAAAATAAATAAACCAGGAACAAGATCCACAATTTCCCCAAGAAATCTCTGCAAAAAGGATAGCTGCACCACCTGTACGCCACACCACACTGTCCACCAAGTATGTTCTACTCAAACCGACTCATCACAACGTACAAACGAGTGCACTGGAACCGCCTTTTATAGTTGGAGTGGCTCTGTTTAGATTCCTCCCAGTTGGAGGCTCGTGATTGGTCGCAAAAAAATAGTAACATCGTCACTGATGTGACAACACAGTATCAAATTATCGGAGGAGGTCCCTCATAACTCGATTAGAACTTCTGATAAATTATCAAAAAAGAATATTCGATATAATCAAAGCACTATCAATAAATCAGAAAATAATTATGGAGAGATTACTTACATAATATTACCTTATCACAGCCCTCAGCTGCTCACTAGGCTAAAATGAGTTTGATCGGCGGGATGATTATGGGAATTAATTGATAGACATAGAGAGTGGTTATAATGGACAAAGGATATAAATAATAGACTAACGAACGGCAACCGACGAAAGTCCTTAAGGGCCACACGGTAAAAATTTAATGTCACTTAAGCATTTATAATGTTAAAAAAATGTGCGATAAGTATAAACGCTGCTTTTACAATAAAAAAATGCTAGGTTATCTACGTCCATACGATTAAATCAACAAATTCAATTTTTCTAACATTATCAATGCTAAAGCAACATTTAAATTTTTCCGTGCATTATTCCCCCTCAGTCTATGACAACCATCCGTTTACACCTATTTGCCCCAATCATCATTTTTATTCTGTGTCAGTCGCTTTGCCTATCAATTACAATAATTAGCCTGCCGGGTTGAAATGAGCTTTGTTGGCTACGTTACAGTTTCGCACACGTACGGTTTCACACAAATTTTGTCAGTGGACAATCTTGCGACGTCTCAACTCAGATCAGATTTAAAATCTTCTGTCGCAGCATCTTTGATGACGTCTGTATGTTTTAAGTCCAATTATTTTTAGTAGTGGTTTTTAGTACTGGAATGTAACCGGAAATGCTCCTAGTTTTTCAGTAGTTTTAGGTGCTTTAGATGAGTAGTAATTTTACGATTTTTAAAAAATAGCCGCGGCAAAGACAGTGTCTTATATGATGGGTACAAGTATTATAAATTTCGCTTTCAAAGCTCCAGCACTCCCCTCTCATTTATTTTGTGTAGGATCGAAATAATTTTCGAATCTTTTCACCGTGAAAAGTAGAGGTTCTGCAGTATTGCGACATAGTACACTAAAATATAGCAATGCTTGCGTTACAAAACAAAAGTGTGCGAAAGTGATAAACTGCCGCTTTGTTCATTTTTGTATTTTTGAAGAGTTTTATTTCACAAGGGGTTTTCCTGAATTTTGGGAGGATATGAACCCACGGAAATTGAGTACAAAGTTGCGCACTTTGAGCTCCCACATGAACGTGCGTCACCAGGAAAATGAAGATGGCGCCCGAAAATATCCCTCCCGCTGCGACCCCTCTGCCGCGATTCATGCTCCGTGCAGCCGTGCATTGATACCGGCTGCACGGAGTATGGATTTCGGGGGAGGCCCTCCCGGTCCCTTGCGATATATCGATCGTTATGCCATTTAAACCTATAAAAAAAGATCGATTATCAGGGTGTTCGCAGCGAGCACCTTAGTTATCGATTCTTTACCATAGCTTCAAATGGCGAGATATCGATAATCGATTATTCACGCCACGCCACTGGGTCCCCTGTCCGCAAAAGGTATCTTCCCAGACCCCCAGGCACCATCAAATGACGCTCTCATCTCATTGAGCAATCCTTGGATCCACCAATGAGTTGCCAACATTGGCGGATCCGGCAATTTGGCAACATCGGAAACCCCTCCAATTAAACCTATGGAATTGTATCGATTCTTGGAGGGGCCAGGTGCTCCGACAAGAATCGATTATTTAACAGGTTTAAATGGAGGGAACTCCGGGGGGTGGGGGGGTGGGGGAGGGTCGAAGCAAATGTTACGTAGTTATTTTGGGGTTGTTCGGACCAGCGATACTATCGCGTTACAGAAGAAGGATAGGTGTCGAAAATTCGGAAAAACCGCGTTACGTATTTTATGAACAGCCTCATCTAATGGATATCTCTTTCTCAATCTCTTGTAGGAAACAATCGCATTCAAAATTCCAAGTAATGATGACAAGAGAAAAGAAATTAGGCCACAAACACTGGTAAGCGCCCGAAAAAAAAAAAAAAAAAAAAAAAACTGTAGTCGAAATTCCGTGAAGTAATCCGTCTAGCGATCGGTTGAAATTCCGGATTCTTCCTAATTAAAAACAGGACGGTTTGTACTGGCGGCGGTAACGTCATGCGAGCGAAACCGTCGCGCCTCCATTGTAATGGAGTATCTCAATTCTCACGTTGAGCCTTAGAAAGCATGGTTTCACATGGATATTAGGGCTCATCCCAAAATTAGAGTTACGCCCTTATAGCAGTTCGGAGAAACGAAACGAGGCGCAGCGTGAGGGGTTTAGTCTCGACGGCCCGATAAATATAGGAGGGTTGTTTTTTCGCCCAGATCTTGGAGCCCCCGACGAACATTGCGAATTGGCACTGCCTCCCCGTTTTTCAGTTTCCCTCGATATAAACATATTTATTTTAAACGAGCCAGTGGCGTGGCGTGAATGATCGATTATCGATATTCCTCCATTTGGTCACATGGTAAAAGATCGATTGTGAAGGCGTTCGCTGCGAACACCCCGTCTATCGATCCTTTTCCATAGGTTTGAATGGCACATCAATCGATGTATCGCAAAGCACGCCACGCCACTGAAACGAGCTGAATTGATGATTTTTTCGCGTTATTCACTGCGTTTAGCGGCGCGCTGAGCCATAAAAGATTGAAATTTTCGCCGCTCGGCGCTGTTTTGCATTCAGATAGTTTTTTTACGAATAAAGCGTGTTTCTCCATCTTAAAGATGTTTATATCCTTATCGACGATTCATAAGTTGTTACCGAGTGATTCCATTTGCATATTCTGCTATTTTTTATTACGTTATACAGGGCTATTCAAAAGTCACGCACCACTGGCCATGAGGGGGACGGCCATTTGAAATTTTTGAGTTGCCCCCCGCCCCCTTCCCCCGAGGGATTTAAAACCTGGAAAGTACCCGAAAAAGTTTCCCATTCGATATGAGGAAGAACGCCTTAAACCGCAAATCGATATCATAATTAGAACTAAAGTTATGGCCAGTGGTGCGTGACTTTTGAATAACCCTGTATTATAATATCACTTACAATGAAGAAAAAGTTGGTGCTCTGGAACCAGAGACAATATTTTTAGAGACTTTGCTCTGACAATCTATAAGCAGTGAGGCCTCGATTGACGATCAGATTCCGGAGCCAATTTCAGTTCAAATGTCAAGTTAGTTCTAAATTTGTCATTTTACGTTATTTTCAAATGAAAAATTGACAGAAACGCTCTAGGCGGCGAAAAATGATGAATGGTGGTACCCCATTTTGATCAAAGTTGAATGTTGCATGTTAATCAACAGTCATCAAATGGTCTATTTAAATCGGAATTTAAGTCAAGCATTAAGGCCTTTGATAAGCGCCCGTCTACGCACAAACTATTGGTTTCAAAGAGGCTCATCGATGGAATGGACCTGTTGCAAACCGCAGCTGGAGCAAGAAGAAGAAGAGTTCCTCACAAAAAATGGCTCAAAACTCAGAATGAGTGCATCCGAAAAGTCTGAAATGTTCCTCTAGCTTCACAATCTCCGTAAGGAATAAGCTTTTTGTAAGCTCCCCGCTTCTATAACGACACTACGGCACAGGTGAACTTATTGTAAGAAGAGTCGTTCCATCTAACCCTTGCGCGCTAGGATGCTACTTAATATTCAATATGGCTGACGCTTCCGTGCGGTAATCGTGAAGAAGTACAATGGTCTTTATCAACGCAAAGGAAAATGTAAATATAAACACGCCGGTTGATGAAATCCCGTCTTGTTGCGTGTGTTTCGGTGAATGGAGCTGTTGCATGTGTGAGGAATTTGCGATTTGACGGTTGATTCTTATGTAAAAGTTTGCGAGAAACACGACGGTGCCACTGGTTTTCTCTGAAATCAACTCCCAAGCTCAAAAGAGCTCTCAAGTTGAGGCCAAAATGGAGGGGATATCCCACGCTATCCTGAGAGTCCACCTTCTACATCAAGACAAACTCTTCATGCAAAGATGGGGAGCAAATACATTAGCAGTGATGCCGTGTTTTCAGTTTTAGAGTCCCCAAATAAATGCAATGTATTTGCTCCCTATCTTTGCATGGAGAGTTTGTTTTGATGTAGAGGTGGACTCTCAGAATAGCGTGAGATATCCCCTCCATTTCGGCCTCAACTTGAGAGCTCTTTTGAGCTTGGGAGTTAATTTCAGAGAAAACCAGAGGCCACATCGTGTTTCTCGCGAACTTTTACATAAGAATCAATGGTCAAATCGCAAATTCCTCACACATGCAACATCTCCATTGGCGTCGGCCATGTTGAATATTGTGTAACATCCTGGTGTGCAAGAGCTGAATGGAACGAATCTTCTCACGGAATGTTCACCTGTGCTGAAGTATTTTTTGTGAAGCTGAAAGCTCATACGGCGCATATTTTTTACGCAGATTGTGAAGTTAAGAATGTACCTCACACTTTTCCAGTGCGCTTATCGTGATTTTTGAGCCATTTTCTACAAGAAACAACCTATCTCTTTGCTCGAGCTGATAGAAATTAACTGGATGTAGGCTCTTGTCGCCTTGAAAAGGTACACAACGATAGGTCCCGTAGCAATAGAATACATACCAAAAAAAGAAAAAAATGAAATGAAGAACAAGAATAAAATTCTGAAAACATTCAGAATTTAATTTTGCGTTTGTGAAGTTTTGAAGTTTTGACGCTCTCCCCTATGTGCAGGGCTGTGTGCAGGAGGGTTAGTATTAGAATCACTCGGGAAATGCGCTCTACAAGGTATAAAAACTTTTATCGCACTCATCAATTTCAGTTCAATTTGAATAGGGCCGTGTTAAGGAAACAACGTCATAACGTTTCAGACGTTACCAGCTTTCCTTTAATTAATTAAAAACTCACTGGGAAAGTCGCGAATATTTTTATTCAAATTTTTCAAATAATTTCATCCGCAATTAATCGTAAAGTATTTGAAAGTGAGAAGATCTTTCGTAACTTTCGTCGAAAAT